AATTGATATGTAGATTTAATGTCATACCAATCAAAATTTCAAAAAGGTTTTCGTAGAACTTAAGCTGACTTTAAAATGTATATGAAAGAGCAAATAGCAGAAAAGAAGTAAGACATTGCTGAAGAAAAGGAATAAGGTAGAGGACTTGTTCTACCAGCTCACAAGACTTATAGAAGTAGTGAGGTATTCATTAACCCAGGAATGGAAAAATAGGGCAACAGAACAGAAAACAGAGCTGAAACATAGACTATGAATATAAACTTGGTATACAACAGAGTTAGCATTGCAGATCTGTGGAGGAATGAGAGACCTTTCAATAAATGGTTCTGGGACAAGCAGTTGTCGGTGTAGAAAAAAAAAATAACGGACAATAAATGGGTGTCAGTTTAAGCAGTTTAGTTTGTGGTAATTTGTTACACAGCAATAGAAAACGAACACCTTCTTTAATATGTGTACCAAAAAGACAAGTTTAAGGTATGCAGCAGCACTTTTCTAGGAATAAAAAGTCCAAAAGAAACAAAAGCCTAGACAGTAGAAAGTGGATAAATAAGCTTCAGTAAATTCACACAATGAAATACTATACATTAGTGAAAATAAATGAAATGAACTACAGGTACTTTGTCAAGTGTAATGTTGAAGAAAAATTAGACAAGTTGTAGAAGAGTACATATATACATATGATTCAATTTATACCACAGTCAAAAGCACTCAAAACTTAATATTTTATTTATATAGAGAGGAAAGAGAGATCCAGGAACCAGGAGGGGTACATAGGAGACATCAGAGTTTAAGAAGGTTCTGTTTTGTTAAAGTTGATCTGGGTATTCATTTTATAATTATTATTTACACATTATGCTATATTATCTATACATATTCTTTTGAATAAATAACATACTTTGTTAAATAAGAGAAATAGTTTGCAAACTTTACTATCAATCCTTTAAACCTAAATCTTCCTGGATTTTGTATACAAATGAATGTGCTACATATTCAGGCAGTATCATTAAAATATACAAAGAATAGGAAATAGCAGAATCAAATTTATGGTCAAAAGCTTCAATAATTTCAAAATATATTTCTAAAAATGACTTACTCTCACTTGGACTACTGCAACTACCTGATCTCTCTACTTCACTCTTGTTCCTGATGCTGCATCCAACTATCTCTTAGAGGGAATGTCGAATCACTCTAGAGATTTTTCAATCATATTGCCATGGTCCCACATGCTCTGACCCCTGCCTACTTCTGTGACTTGATTTTATTCCTGTCTTCCCACATGATCCAGTCTCAGAACAGATCCTAACATTCTCCAGCATTAATGTTTATAATGCTAATGTGTACATTTAATAAAATCTAGGCATCATTTCACTGACATTACATCATGAGTATTTCCCTATTTTCCCTTTGTTCTGGGGAGTTTGGGGATGTTTGTTCATGGTTCCGCTTTATTATGATTTCATTTGACTCTTCTCTTCATCTTTAATATCCACTACATCAGAAGTCCTGTCAACTCTAAACATGTATATCCTGAATCTGCTCCCTTCTTTCCATCTCTTCTGCTACTACTCTAGTCCACTATCATCTCTTACCTGGACCAATGCAACAGCCACCTGTCTCCTTGCTTCCATTCATGCCCCACTGCAGTACATTCTCCACCCTACAGGCACAATGATCTTATAACAAATCAGGCCATGTCACTCTCCTTCTTCAAAGTGTCCTATGGCACAACAGAGTAAAATCCAAATTTCCTTACACCTGACATGACTTGGTCCCAGCCTACCTCTCCAGGTTCATGTCCCTCATGCACACTAAAGGATCACACTAGCCTTCTGATGGCTTTAGAATAAGCCAAGGTTGTTATTGCCTTGGGGACCCTGTATGGAGCATCCCTCTGCCTGAACTACTGTAACCTTAGTTATGTGCAGATCAGCTCATCCTCATCACTCAGGGCTCAGCTCAAGAGGCAACTCTTTAGAGAGGCCTTCCCTGACCGTTCTGGCTAAAGCACAGCTCCCAACCACTCACTGTCAACCACATCACCCCGTTTTACCTTCTTCACAGCACTTATCACTACCTGAAAACCATATTTTTAAAATCTGTTTATTGTCTATCCCCCCCGACATGTGAGGACCTTAATCCCTATTTACTGTTATACTCTATGCCCAAATAGTTCCTAGCACAAATGTAGATGAAAATAATTACATGTTGAATGAATGACCTCTTGTGGCCTTAGTTCAGATTTCCTTGTCTCTGAACAAATGTTCAGGTTTAATAACCTGAGTGTTTTATACATGTATTCGGTTATACTATGTCTCTTTAAACAAAGTATATTAACAAAAAAGCATTTTATTAACATCTGAAGTCATATCTCCTCTTTCTTGTCTTTAAAGTATCATGGCAAAAATGGTTAAGTACTCTGTAAACAGCACATAGACACAGAATGAAAAAAACAACAACAACAAAAAAACAATGTCTGTTCTATTCCTGACATTAAGGGAAGTCATTTTCAAATCCTAAGTTAGGGATAGCTGTTCATGCCATTTTATCTTTAACAAGAAAATATCTACTTTAGAGGTAGAACTATTTGGGATGAAATTTTTTTAAGTTATTTCTTCTTATTAATATTGTGGTTTCCTACTTATTTAAAAAATAAAGGGAGCCTAAATTTGATTCTATGTTTAAAGTAGTTGCTGATAACAGAATCTATATGAACATTGTTTTTAGAGTAGTCCATTCATTAAACATCATATGCATCCTTGGTATACTACCTAAAATGTAGTTAATGCATATGTATATTGAATGAATGAACGGACTAATCTAAATACAATACATTTGGGAAGACAGACAAACAATTCTAATATAGTGCCATAACCAATGTATGCAGAGTAAAAGTGAGAAGAGGCAAAGCTATAACTAAGATGGAGGGGTTAGGAACAATGTCTGAGTGGAGCTCAGATACCTGGGATGAGTCTTGAGACAGATAAGAGGAGAGAAAGGGAGCTCCAGACAAAGAAATTTTAAAATGTAAAGGTACTGTGGCTTGAGCAAGTAGGCAATATGTCAGAAACACAAGAGCAAATGTGAAGGTTGGGCAAAAATGAGGCTGAAAAAGAAGGCAAAATGCAGACAACAGACTGCCCTGTATACTACACTAAGGCATTCAGATTTTGTCCTATGTGATATCTATACAGACCTCTTGGGATTTGTGAATGTAGCCTCAAGGCTATGAGAGTTCTCTAGAGAAACCTGTTACTTTCAATTTAATAAAAATCTAAACAAAAACTTTTTTTGAACAGAGGATACTCTGGATTATCTGGATGACCACCTTTTAATGGATCACTGTCACAAGACTTCAATTCACATATTTGTGCTTAGGGCTGCACTGGCAAACTAGTGGTACCATTTGTCATTGGTGCAGGTTAATGAGGGACATGGAGACGATATAACAGATGTAACAGATGTTTGCGAAGTGAGGGTCAAGTGAAATCATGACACATTGAACAAAGGAAGGTTTTACAGTGGTTTAAATAAAGAGGTGAAGTCACTGAATAATCTCTCAACACAAGAGTAATATAGACAGGCCTTTCTATAAGGAATTTATGCCCCGGAAAACAGTGAAGGTTCACTTTTTAGGAGCATGACAGGTTCAGCAAAAACATTCTCGTTGGAACGACAAATAAGCATTCATCGGAATTTGTTTTATAGTTTTGCTTCATTTAACATATAACTGTTTGAGTGTTATAGTTGTATAAAAGATATAATATTAGAAGTTTATATATGGTTTTACATTGCATATATTTAACATACTGAGCATATTTTAAGTTAACAATAGAGAATCCTGGGTATCTACTTAGGTTTGAGAAATTCTGCTCTGGATGACTGGGAGCCACTGAAAGATTTAATAGAGAAATGACAGATTTGTGCTTTAGAAAAATCACTCTGGCAGCAGTGTGGAGGGTTGGAATTGAAAGTATTTAAGTAAGGCAGAAAGGAGGCTACTTAACATAATAATGTGATAAAATGGTGAAGCTCTAAATTACTCCAGGGGATATGAAGAGGGGATGGATAACAGAATTAAAAGTACTTGGTTGAGGGTGAGGGGAAAGAGTGTTTCTAGGATGACTGTCCCTTGGGTGACTTAGTGGTGAGATAAAGACCACTGGAAGACAAACAAGTCGGGGTAAAAGGGAAAGAAAAAAAGAGATGATGAATTCAATTCAGCAATGATTTGAATTTCATTTCAGCCAAAGAAAATCCAGTTAGATGTTCTGGGTCCCGGTTTTCTCAGTGACAGCTGCATTCATGAATTACCAAATTAACTATTATAGCGCTCTCCAAAAATATACAAAGCACTCCACAGTATGCTGTAAATAAGTCATGAAAAATCAGCAAAAGCCCAGGCCCTAAAGGAAATTCAGCAAGGTTAAAAAGAGATGTGACAAATTTTTACTAAACACTTATCCCAACGCACTAACCCAGTATTGTACTTTTTGCTGTCAGTCAGATGCAATCACTCCCGTGCCTACGTCTGAACTAGAGGCCACGTGGGAGATGCAAAGACACCACCCTCAAGGGACTTACAAGCAAAGCAATGAGACACATCTGGTGCACGATTACCGAAAATGTAATGTAGCGGGAATTTTGACCCTATAGGCAGGGCTAGTCACAAAGTTACCTTTTAGAGAAATCAACGTGGAGTATCTTAGGCAGTCCAATAAGAATGTAAACATTTCATATTTCATTCCCAACAAGGAGTGAAAATAAAAGGCGTGAGGAAGAAAAATGCATCAATTATCGCAAAACCAGCCTATGACCCCGCAGGCCACAGAAGGGCGGGCCTCTGGGAAAGAGAAAACTTCAAGTATAGTTTGGTGCGAATGCAGCAACGTCCACCACTAATTCATAATACAAAAGCATAGTGTTTACGGACCCAAAATGTTTAACCGACAACCTCGTCCACCACGTCCAACATGCGACTGAAGAGAAAGCCGCGGGCGTACCTTTCTCTAGCACAGGACACTGCCTTGGGCGGGTCGCACAGGACCAGCGCCCCTCTCTGCGCCCGGCCAGGCCCTCTCAGAGGGAAAGTCGGGGGGCGAGAGGCGTAGGGGTACCGGGGCGGCCAGGGACGGATCCCTGAGTGCAGGGCGCTCACAGAGAACGGAAACCAAAAGGCGGCATGGCAGCACAGCGCCCCCAGGGTTCTCCTCAGCGACGCGCGCAGACCCGGAAAGGCGCGCCAGCCCTACGGCGCAGCCTCCGCGCGGCCAGAGGGGGGAGGATGGGAGGGGCCGCGGCGAGCTGGAGGCGGGGCCGGAGCAAGGGCTGGCTGCCCGCGGCCTGATGGGGATTGTAGTTCTCGGGACGAGCCAGGCTCCTGAGAGGGCCCTGGGAAGTACATTTCCCGGTGAGGGAACGGCTGCGACAGACCGCGCATTACGGGGTCAGGTCCAGAGCCGGAGAGGGTTTGAGGGCCAGCCAGGAAGGGGGTTTCTTTCCCTTCCTACTTCTCTGCTTCAGGGCGGCGCCGGCTCTGCCTTCCTTCGCCCCACCGCCGTGCGCCTCCTTCCCGGCTCCTAGTGCTGGCTTTTCCTGGGCCCCTCCAGGCGGTGGGGCCTGGAGGTTCGGAGGCAGCGGCGGCTGCCCGGCGCGGGAGTTGAGGGGCGCGCCCCTCTTCGGTCCAGACAATTCTGCGCCGGCCCGCGCCTCCATGGGCCCAACCCAGAAGCCCAACGTGTGCCGCCGGCTGAGTCGCCGGGCGCTGGGCTTCTTCTCGCGCGACGCGGGCGTGGTGCAGAGGACGAACCTGGGCATCCTGCGGGCGCTGGTGTGCCAGGTGACCGCCCGCCGGCCGGGAGCGGGACCCAGGGCAGCGGGGCGACGCGGGGTGGGGGGAGGTCAAGTCGCCAGCTGGGGTGCAGTTTCACGCAATCCAGCCCCCTTTTAAGAAGATCACGTGTGATGGGGCAGGGTGAGCCAGGCCTTGAACCTGGGGAATTAGTAAATAGCTATTAATAGCAGCGCCAGGTGCTTTTTGTTTTAAGCTTCTTATATCTTCATGCAGACAATTTTTATAAAAATTGGTCACCCCCACCTAAACCAGAGCGTGAGGGCAGAGTGAGGAAGAATTGAACATAATTTTTTTTAAGTACTTGAAAATTACTTTAAAAACTGTAAATTTAACTATCCAACTTAAAATTAGTGGAGCTTATCAGTTATTTCCTAAACTGGAATTCCTTGTGTCTTTTAGGAAAGTACTAAATTTAAGAATGTCTGGACAACTCATTCCAAGTCACCTATAGCCTATGAGAGAGGAAGAATATATTTTGACAATTATCGGTGCTGTGTCAGCAGGTATCTTTTTGGTGAAAATTTTTGCTGTAATTCATTTGACTGTTGATCTTTATTCTAATTTTTATAGAAACACATGCCTACGTTAGTGCTTAGTGAAATAGGAGAATGGAAAAATGGATCCAAAATCAGAGTAGGTGATAAGATGTGTATAATTTAAAAATCTTGTTAAGTCTAAAGCTTCAGGTTTCATCTTTGTAAATACCAATTTAAAGCGAATTTATGTTGCAGGTAAAATGATAGATTGCTGAATGCAGTGTAGTATTTTATTCTGCCTAAAAGATACCAGAGTCAAGAGAGTCAGTTACCTAGTAGTTCAGTGATGTTTTAGAGAAGAATTTCTGAGTTTTGTTTTGGAAGTACTTGCCTTGGTTTGTTTTAAAAGAAAAATTTCAAACTTGCTGAAGTAGCATAGTATAATTTAGAACCCTCATATACTTGTTACTTAGATTCAAAAAGGATCAAGATTTTGCCACATTTGTTTATCTATCCCATTGTCCCCTTTTCCCTTACCTCTTTGCTAAATATTTTAAAGCATATTCCAAACATCATGTCGTACTTAAGTTAGCTTTTCTTAAAAAATGGGCCTTTTATTTTTCTTTTTTTTAACAGCTTTATTAAGAAATAACTCACATACCATACAATTCACCCATTTAAAGTGTACAAGTCAATGATTTTTAGTTCCTTAAAATTACCTCAAAAGAAACACTATATCCTTTAGTTGTCACCACAATACCTTGATCCCCATCAGCCCTAAGCAACTGCTAGTCTATTTTCTGTCTCTATAGATTTACCTATTTTGGACATTTCATATAAATTGAATCACATAATGTGATTTCAGGGGGGACTGGCTTCTTAGATTACCAGTATATTATAAAAGGGTAAAACTCAGGAACAGCCAGTGGAAGAGATGCATAGGGCGAGGTATGGGGGAAGGAGCACAGAGCTTTTGTGTTCTCTGAGCATGCTGCTTTCCCTAAATCTCCATGTGTTCAACCCAGAAGCACCTCTTTTTTTCTAATGTATACATTTAATGCCATACATTTCCTTGTAAGCACTGTTTTTGCTGCATTCCACAAGTGTTGCTATATTGTATACTTTTATTTCGTTAAAAATATTTTAAAATTTCTTTTAAGACTTTTTCTTTGACCCATGTGTAATTAATTAATGTATTTAATCTCCAAGTATTTGGGGATTTTCCAGCTACCTAGCTTTCTGTTACTGATTTCTAATCTAATTCCACTGTGGTCTGAAAACATTTATATTATCTTGGTCTATCTTGGTGAATGTTTCATGGTCTATCTTGGTGAATGTTTCATGTAGGCCTGAGAAGGTGTATTCTCCTATTGTTGGATGAAGTAGTCTACAGATGTCAATTAGATCCAGTTGATTGATGGTACTGCTCAGTCCAATTACGTACTGACTCTGCTTTCAGTTACTGAAAGAAGTTATGCTGAAGTCTCCAACTTTATTAGTAGATTTGTCTACTTCTCCTTATGTTCTGGATGCTATAATCTCACGTATTTTGACACTCTTGTTAGATACATACACATTAAATATTTTTATATCTTCTTGGTGAAGGGACCCCTTTATCATTATGTAATGCCTAACAATTTTATTTATTCCTGATAATTTTCTTTTTATTTTTTTAATTTATTTTTAATGGAGGTACTGGGGATTGAACCCAGGACTTCATGCATGCTAAGCTCATGCTCTACCACTGAGCTATACCCTCCCCTCTGATAATTTTCTTTGTTGAAGTCTGCTTTGTCTAAAATTAATATGGCTGCTCCAACTTTCTTTTATTAGTATTTGTATGGTATACTTTCTCCACCCCTTCACTTTTAATTTACCCATGTCTTTATATTTGAAGTGGCTTTATTGTACACAACATATATTTGGGTCTGGTTTTTTATCCACTCTGGCAGTCTCTGGTTTTTAACTGGTGTATTTAGACCTTTCACATTTAACGTGATTATTGGTACAGTTGGTTGGATACCTCCCATATTTGTAACTATTTGCTATTCATTGCATTTGTTATTTGTTTCCTTTCCTCCCCCCCCCCTTCATTCTTTTCCTGCCTTCTCTGGTTTTAATTGGTCATTCTATATGATTCCATTTTCTTTCCATTTTAGTATGTCAATTATATTTCTTTTTCAAAATTTTTAATGGTTGCATTAGAACTTGCAGTATACATTTACAATAGTCTAAGTCACTTTCAAATCACTTTCCACTCCGCTCCTCATAGGTAGTGCAGGTATCTTATATCAGTATTTCTAATTCTTCCCTCCTGACTTTTATATTGCAGTCATTCATTTTACTTATCCATAAGCTATAATCACTGAATACTTTGTTGTGAATATCATTACTATTATGAACAAATGTTTATCTGCTAAATCAATTAAGAATAAGAAAAATATGTATGTGAGAAATTGACTCATAACTGACTATACTTCAACAACAAAAAAAGAATAAGAAAAATAAAGGATTTTATTTTACCTTCATTTATTCCTTCTCCAATGTTCTTTTCTTTATGTAGATCTGAGTTTCTGACCTATATCATTTTTCTTCTCTTTAGAGAACTTTCCTTGAACATTTCTTATAAGGCAGGTCCACTGGCAACACATTCCCTTAATTTTTGTTTGTCTGAGAAAGTCTTATTTTTCCTCAACGTTTGAAGGATAACCCCTCAGGGTACAGAATGCTAGGTTAGTAGGGGTTTTTTGTTTTGTTTTGTTTCATCACTTTAACTATTTCACTGCACTCTCTACGTGCTTGCATGGTTTCTGAAGAGAAGTCCAATGTAATCCTTATCCTGTTCCTTTATAGGTAAGGGGCTTTTTTATTCCCTCCGAATTCTTTCAAGATGTTCTTTTTGTTTTTGACTTTCTACAGTTAAAATATGACATGGCCAGGTATAGATTTTTTTGGTATCTACTGTGCTTGGTGTTCTGTAAGCTTTCTGTATGTGTGGTTTGGTGTTTTTCATTAACTTTTGAAAATGCTCACCAATTATTTCAAGTATTTCTTCTGTTCTGTTCTTATTCTGGTATCCCCATTATGTGTACATTACACATTTTCTAATCATCGCACAGTTCTTAGATACTCTGTTCTGCTTTTTTCATTCATTATTCCTTTCTAGTTTGGAAAGTTTCTATTGAGATACCTTCATGTTCACTGATTCTTTCCTTGGCAGCGTCCAGTCTACTGATGAGCCCATCAAAGACATTCTTCATTTGCATTATGGTGTTTTTGATTTCTAGCATTTCCTTTTGATTTTTTCTTAGGGTTTTTATCTCTGCTTATTACTCATCTGCTTCTACATGTTTTCCACTTTTTCAATTAGAGCCCTTAACATAGTAATCATAGTTATTTTAAATTCTCAGTCTGAGAATTCCAAAATCTCCACTATAACGAGGTCTGATTCTGACTCTTGCTTGGTCTCTTCAGTGTTTGTACTTTGCATTTTAGCATGCCTTATAATTTTTTTGTTGAAAGTTGTATGTGATACATTTGGTAAAAGGAATTGCAGTAAATAGGTCTTTAGAGCAAGGTTTTATGTTTATATGACTAGGAGTTAGGCATTGTTTGTTGTTGGCTATAGCTGTATGTGTCAGAGCCTAAAATTTTCTCTAGTGTCCTTATTTTTATCTCCCCAGTGCCGACTTCAGCAGCTTGCACCTGGGTTTTTGCTCCTAGTAAGCTGTGATTCTTGGTGTCCATCTCTCACTGTAGTTTTTGGGGCAGCAGTTTGCTATGTGACCACAATTCCCTGATGTAACTAATAAGAGTTGTTGATTTTCAGTTTGTTCAGCTTTTTTCTTGTCATGAGGACATGAGTGATGGACCAGAAACCAGAAGTTAGAGACTGTTTTTTTTAGGTACTGCTTGAGATTTTTTTGATCCCAGGAGGGCTCCTCCCAGCACCCTTTTCCTTTCTGGCAAATTAGCCAGCCTACAATTTAGCCTATATGGCCAGTGAATCTACAAATCTCTTCTCATTTACTTTTCACCACAGCCTCCACTGGTTATGAGAGTGCTCTTAGGCTAGAACTTCTCCACATTCTTTTGCAAATGAAGTCAGTTCCTCTGAGAAGAGGCAAGGGCCTATCTGCTTTATGGCCTGCTTCTCCCCACAGGCAAAATCTTTGACCAAGGCTCTCTAGCTGATGGTGATGTTGGGGATGTCAGTGGCACTCTTCCCGCTGAATGACTCCCCCTCCTCTAAAAGCTAAGCACTAGGAGTTGGGGCAGACATTAGCCTCAGATTTTCTTGCCTCTCTCAGTGAGGAACCACTGTTTTATGAGGTAGGATATAGGTAACTGGGGCTTGGGTATTCTTAGGCATGGAAGGCCCAAGGTAGAGCCTCCGTCCCACGAGTAAGGGTTAGGCAGAAGAAAGGAGTCCTACCTCTTGGCTGCACTGACCCAGGATGAAAAATGCTGTCATCCTACCTTCCAGGAAAGGTAACCCTCTGGGAGCTAAGGGTTGAGGGAACCCTGTGCTCTTGGCTGTACCAGTCTGGAGTGGCGTTTTCATCTTGCTAAGCTGAGAATGGTGGAGAGGCGCACATCCTATTTCAAACACCATGGACTCTCACCGTTCTTACTGAGCTCTAGTACGTTTTCTTGAGTAAATGTTTCTTTATTTGCTGTGTCTCCTGGACCTCTTCAGGGCCTTAATTAGTTGTCCTTGTATAATTTTCACCATTTTCCTGGGGAGCATGCCCATAGTGCTCCTTGGAAGTGGAAATCTGGACATTTCTTTATATGATCATAATGTCATTATTATGCCTAGCAAAATTAACAGTAGTTCTATGGTATCATTTAATGCCCATTTTGTAACTTTCCCAATTTAGAGGTATCTGTTTAATTAAAATTTTTTATAAAATCAGAGTCTCTGTTTGGCATTGATTGGTGATCCAATGGTAAATAGTATTGGAGTTCTTTAATATGCCATTCAAGAGAATTTTATTCATTAGGTAGAATTGTATATGAAGTTTCTTTCATTCCTGTGAAATTCTGTTTGGTTTAAACCTTTGAATCAGTGAGAGAACACCAAAGGTGAATAAAACTGTCACCTTGAAAATTACTTCTAAATAGTACTTTAATTTTAAAGTTGATGAGTTTAGAAAATTGAAAATATCTATGATCACATCTCAGTAGTAATCAGGGAAGTATAAGTTAAAGGTAAGAGACTTTTTCACATCAAAAAATGCTCAGTAGTGACAGGAGTATAAACTCGTTCAACCTTTCTGAAAGGCAACATGGGAATAAAAAACCTTAAAGCGTATTTCCTTTTTTATCTAATTTTCACCCTAATATAAAGGGACTCTTTTTATCTAATTTTCATTTTACAATATTGGAATGACTGTTATGAACATGGACTTCAACAGAGATATTCATAATAAATGTTCAAGGGTAATGAAATAATTCAATATGATCCAATTTTGGAAAATAATCTACAAGTAAGTTTACATATATAAAGAAAAACTAGAGGGAAATGAACCAAAATGTTAATAATCGTTATTTTTGATAGTTTCATAGTGATATAACTCATTTTAGTTTGGTATATATTTTAAAATTTTTTCTATGAATGTGTTATGAATTGTGTGATCAGAGAAAAAATATTTAAAATTAGAAAAGGAAAAGAAAGTAGCAAGTTGTATTTTTGATATTCTAGATTTCTGAATTGAAAAAAAAAATCACTCAAATCTGAGCAAATAGTATCTCATTTATCAAGTAGAATAATCTTTTCTTTTTCCCCAGTGTCGCATCAGAGCCAAGAAAACTTTATGAAATGCCAAAATGTTCCAAATCAGAAAAAATAGAGGATGCTTTATTATGGGAATGCCCAGTGGTAAGATTTAGTTTTAGAACATTTATTTCTAAAGCATTTTTAGCCTAGAAGAACTGATTATTGTTAATATATTGTATAAAGAAATGAAACTTAACTATCATAGTGATTCTTAAATCTTGAAAGAAATCAAGAAGAGAATTTATCTTTTCATTAATCATTTTTCCTCATGACATAATTTCTACTAAAAAATTATATATTTATGAATATATTTTTAACTTTTGATACCATTTGTAAATCTTGAAAACTAGAAAAAGTTATGAACTGATTAAAAGTTTTATAAGCATTAAAACTAGTTTATAGTCATCCTTAGTGTTTAAGAAACCATTCTACTCAATATATTGGGAGAGTAAAATATTTATTTAGGGCAACAGTTATGTTAACATGGTTCTTTGAAAGTGCATTCTTAAGAGTTTCTTCTATGAATCTTGTGAGAAAAACAATAAGATGAAAATAAAATAATAGGTAAGCTCATTCCATCAGACCAGCACTGACCCGGTGTGTGTTTTTCAGAACACTATATTTATAAATGTTTAACATCTTATGCTTGCTAGAGGAGTTGGGAGAATTGGGTTATTTAAAGGATTAAACAAATTTATTTATAGAATTACTTCTCAGAACCTTTAATACTAATAGTACTTACGAAAATACTAATGTGCATGGTGATTTTTCAAACCGTTTTCGTAGATTTTTTTGATCATGGAACATCCTTTTTTGAGATATATTTCTAAATATTAGTTTTCCATGGAATCAGTGTTCTAAGAAACACACTTAAGAAGTACTGCCACAGGATAGGGGGAGGGTATAGCTCAGTGATAGAGTACATGCTTAGCATGCACAAGGTCCTGATTCAATCCCCAGTACCTTCTCTAAAAAAATTAAATAAATAAACCTAATTACCTCCCCCCACGCCCCCAAAGAAAGAAGTACTGCAACAAATTAATCAGTTCTTTGAATGTGGCTGTGTTTTTAGGAAAAATAGAACTCAGAATGTATGACTAAAAATAAAGTTTAAAGAATAAGAGGCTTTGCTTTGAATTTACTGTCAAAATTCTTTTTATTAAGACCATTGTTTTTACATAAAACTGTAGTTTTCTAGAGCTGCTGCTTTCTTTTTCCCTGGACAGTTACTCTCTTTCATGGAAATCTTTTTAAAAATCAGAAAGCTTTAAATCTTCATTTTCTTCCCCAACTCCTTATGAAAGTTAAACATAACTGTTATGCCCCCAACATCTAAAGCCTCTTAATCCATTTTCATTGGAAAAAGGAGGAGGATGACAGATTCCTTACTTGAGAAAAGTTTTGAAGACACTGGTCCAAAACACCAAAAATTAAGAGCAATCATGCAAAAATAAAGTTTCTAGTAACCTAATTCTTCTCACTTCAAACGTTTTGTTCTTCTTTGAAATGTAGCAAGATTTTTCATTAAGAAAAACTAAAAAGCACATTGTATTGTTAACATATTGATATGAAACTGTATGAAAACTGGCACCCTTCTTTTCTGAGACAATGTGTGAAATACAACTTTTGGCTTAGGAAAATACCTCAAACCTATTACATATGCTACTTCAAATTCTTTTTTTTTTAAATAGGTAAGGTATAAATGGTACATTTTTAAAACTTTGAAATCTCCATGAGATGATACTTACATAAGACACCAAAGAATAAAAATATTTACACCATTGCCTGTGATTTTAGTGTAAGACTTCAGTAGCTAATAAACTTAAAACACACACACATACAGACAAAACCAAGAAACAGAAAAAAACTCTTGTTTGTTTCACTAACGTTTGAAAGAGAAGACAAATCTTAAAAGAGTATAAATAAAATAACTACGTCTACATTCTTTTCTAGTCACTTTTCAGCCTAAGTGAATATTAGATTAATTTCAACTTCTATATTAACTTTCCCCTTGTAACTTCATGTTTATTCTACAAATCAAAGTAGAACCCTTTGCTTTTCTTTCTCTTCCTGCCTTAGACTTCCACCTTGTGGCAGCTCCTCAGTGTCAGGTATGTCCAAGCAGCTATCCCCTCCCTTTGTTAGGAGTAATTCATTGGTGACAGTCGTTATCTTTAAAACCAGGTCCATCTCTGATCTTCTGTGCCTGCCTTGATCCTGGATTTTAGGATCCTTTTCATTTAGGTTCGAGTAGCTCCACAGTGAATAATGGGATAATTTGCTCTTTTGCCATATTGAGGCAAGGAAAATAAGTTTTGGAATAAAGAAGCATCTATTCCAGCGATGACTCTTAATTGCTTATGCTATTTTACAGGATTTTAAGAACTGTTACTGTGCCATCATTGTTATCACACAGCCTAATTAGTAGTACTCCTATTACTATTGTTACGGTGATGATGTTTGGCTAACATTTGTTGAATACTTAATGATAAATAATAATAAGTAATAATATATTATTTCAAGTATTGTTTAAGCACTCTGAATAAACTCACTTAATAAATTAATGATGATAATAATTACTCACAATTTTAATCTTTTCTTGTCTTAATTCTTTATTTGTACATTTACTATTTCTTCTTTAATTAACTTACTTGACTATTTCTTTGAGTCTTTAGCTATTTTCTTTGGACATACATTACTGCAGATTGTTCATGACCTAGCAATTTCAGTTTTATACCTGATTTTTTTAGGGAGAAATGCTTCCTAATCCATCAGATTATAAATCCTCACTCATTGCACTGACTGCTCATAATTGGCTACTTCGTATATCAGCAGCTACAGGAGAAGTCCTTGAGAAAATATATCTTGCTTCATATTGCAAATTCAGGTATTAACTATGACTTTATTATTTAAATTTTCATTACAAAAACTTGTGACTTGTAAGTCAGGATATTTCAAGTTTTTTTTTTGTTTTTAGTTTTTTGGTTTTTTTAGTTTTCCATTGTATACCTGGATCTCAATTTATAAACCTATTTTCTTTCTCTTTCCTGAGAAGATCTGAGGATGGAGACCCTTTATCATTTATCTTTGTATTCCTCATAAGTAACCAACCTCTAGTAGTTGACAGATACCCTTTTAAAAAAATTTTCCTTCTACAAATAGTATTTTATATGTAGGATGTATTTTATGGTAGGTTTTCATGAAGACTAGTCTGGTGCAGTAAAATTAACTATCAAATATAATCTGAGAACTGTTATTTTAACTAGTAGTTTTATAAATTACATATAAATTTTTGGAATGAATCGGTGCATACAAAATGTGAATGTAACATTTTTAATGCTTTTTGTAAATTCCATTTTAAAGCGGGAATTTTTTCTTCTTCTTTAGTTTCTTTTAGGAATTGTTTTTGTCTTTCTAAATTTTCAACACTGTTAGATCAAACACAATTTTTATTCATTGAAACTCTAGAAGGATTAAAATTATACATCTATATTTTAATAGGAATAAATGCATATAAGGATCTGGAGGGAATTCTTCTAGTTACTTGTTTTTAAAATTAATTACTTTGCTTTTATAATTTAAGTAACTGAAAAATTGTTCATTTATAAAATATCTATTATATTTTTATTTTAAGTGTAAGTAAACTGATCCAGCTGAATAAACTTCTATTCATTCTTTTAAAAGATACTTGAGCTGGGACACTCCTCAAGAAGTCATTGCAGTCAAGTCAGCTCAGAACAAAGGTTCAGCATTGGCCCGACAGGTAGACATCTTTAAACATTCAATAAAATGAAGACTTCGGTTCCAGAGGAATTTGTCTGCAAATTTTTTATGAAAGAACTAATGATGTTTGATTTCTAAAGCATGCTGTAAAAGTTGTTTACCACAAATTTAAGAAATTTCCTTCAGTCCACTTTGAGGAAGTACAACCAATTATTTTCTATTCCATAGTGGAAAGAAATTGACTGAACCTTTTTCTTCAAAGTAAGGGAGCTGTCTTCTTCAGAGAAATCACTCAAGCCCCAATTGTTGATATTTTTTATATTTAACTTAGACATGTCAGGTAATGCTGTTTTCAAATGATATGACCATGAAAACTGTGTGTCTTTTGATTAGGCCCTTCATTGTTAGAATTCCAATTTATGATATAAATTATATTGTATGATAATATATTATAGTACAGTATATTAATTTATATTATAATTTATATAACAGAAACATCAATTTATATTACATTGTAATCTAGTGTATAATGTATAAAATATATTTTGTTGTTAAGAAATGTTTATTGTTCTGTTTACTTTTATAGATGTTTGTGTGTATGTGCATTTTGTAGCTCTCTTGAGAGCTGCCTGTAATTTCAGTCTTTCCTTTTAGGCAGGCATTCAACAGTCTGTTTTGCTGTACCTTGCTGTGTTCCGTGTGCTACCTTTTTCACTCATAGGGATTCTGGAGATCAACAAAAAGGTAAGAACTTATTTCTGATTAAATTGTCATGTGAATTTTTTGACAATAAGATGTAATGTCATTGTTTAATTATTTTTTATCAGCTGTTTGAATTGGAAATGTTCCCCTGACTATAAAATGCTTTCTGATACAGTTTAATTCTATCAAAGTACATGAGAACATTTGACTTGGGAAGGGAGCCTAACTATCCCTTCACTGTTCTGAATGTTTTTATGCTTCTCAGGTGGATAATGTTGAGTATCCATGGTCATTAACAAACCACTGTTCTATAAAATTATGAAATGAGTATTGTTTTCAGAGGGAATATTCTAAAGCTTGTTAAAATGATCGTTAAAGAAAGGTGAAAGCCACAACAAAGTGCCTGGTTTTAATTGCAAAGTATAGCTCTAAAGCTTGTTTTATGATATGTAAATAAGTCTTATAATTAAATATGTTAAGTTTTTAAACTCATTCAGTATTGAGTTTTATTGTTGTTGCCATTGTTCCTGATTTGTGGGGTGGTTATATGAGAGGAAAGGAAGTGCAGGTTGCCTTTGAGTAAAAGAATCAATAGTTTCCTACTTTCCTTTAAAAAGAAAATGCTACTTAGTCTGGGTGAATCGTTATTTATTGGTCTATTCTACTGGTCTTTAATTAAGCACATGAGGTAGATGCTTATTTTTGAGGCCAGATCCTGAGGGTCCACTAATATTCATTAGCAAACAAGAGGAATATATTTTTAAGAATTTATATGTGACAATGAGTGTATATATGACCATGAATGACTGAAAAATTGTTCTGAACACTGGAATTTGACACAACACTGTAAAATGATTATGAATCAATAAAAAATGTAAAAAAAAAGAATTTATATTGTGCAAGCATAATATGCTAAACTACATAAAAGCTAAAGAATAATGTCAGTTATTTATTAATTGTTTGTTTTGTGCCAAACACTTTGAGTATTTTACAACATATAATAATAGTGTAATATATAAGATACTCAACTAGGAGGTTAAGCAGCTACCCAAATCCTAAAGGGAGTAAATGAAGAAGCTGGAATTTGAACCTAGATTTGACTCCAAAGATTAAACCAAATTTTAAAATAGAGTGGCTACTTTATTATAACACTCATTATTTGAAAATACGTTTGAATTACACAAGTCCTTCTTTTCAAAATGGTGGATGAGGATCAGTGAACAAAAAGTCATGGGTTTGTCAAGAACAAAGCAAACCATAATTATTCTTTTAAGAGGTGACAAAAAACACAACTCATGAATTTAACTATTCTCTTTGTGCTTGTGGATTAAGTAATTGTGTACATTTATTACAGTCGATAACAAGAATGAACATTTAGCAAAATCATAACTCATTTTGTTCAAGATAGTCGTTTGAGGGAGTTGATCTTGATTATGTTTATTTGGAGTTGAAATGTATCTTTCACTTATCCTGCACAATAAGACTGCCCAGGGGCCAGACTCAGAATGTGCTTTTAAGCTATTTGTTGGGATAGTAAATCTTTGCTAAGTCATTTGTCTTGAGTACAAACAGAAATAGATTTTCACTTAATTTCTACTTGTTCTTTCACCACTATGAGTATTTGTCTATGTTGGCTTTTGTTAAATTTTAAAATAGGCACAGAATCAAGTTCTTTATCAGACCTCTGGAGAATCATGACATGATCCAGCGGGTAGGACAGAAACAGAGAGGGAACAGTGAGCCAAAGCCTTACTCAAGGGCAGCTAGGTTAAATGTCTCTGTATGTAGTTGGTCTTTATATGACTAAAAAAATTCAAACAATTTTAGATATTGAAAGAACAAGGTAATGATAAAATTCTGGAGTTGGCTGTTTCATATTAGAATTACTTTCTTAGACCTGAAGTTTTCACCTTTAGCTAAAAATGTCTCTTTGTAAATAACGTTTTGGCATAAAGAATAGGTCCCTATATTTATTCTGTCATGCATATCCTATACAGTAGAATTAAATGGACTCAGTTTACACCGATATCCATGAGGAAGAGGATTTGTTATTAAAAGATGTTGACAAAACTATGAAGCAAATGAATGCTGCTGCATTATTTTGAGAGATGTGCTACACTCCCTTTAGTGCTTCAGTTTGAGACTCTAGTGGCTTACTACCCACTCGTAATAACACCTTAGCTTCACGTTTCTAAATTATAATGAAGTTACACTATTAGGCAGTCGTGTTGTGGTGGTGTCCTGAATATTAAACAAATACACAAACCACTGTGAGCACTCAGAGGATTGGCCTTCTGGTCTTTTCTCAGGTGATATCTACCTTTTCCCTCAGATTTTCGGGAACGTTACAGATGCTACCTTGTCTCATGGAATACTGATTGTGATGTACAGCTCGGGACTGGTCAGACTTTATAGCTTCGAGGCCATCACTGAACAGGTAGAGAAAACTGAAATTTGCCATATTATAATTAACTTGAGATTTGGACTGAGCTGATTTCCTTAATGAGATGTTTTTAAAGTAAGACACTTGTGTAGATTTCAACTCTGCAAAATTGTACAAGTGCATAAAGACTAAGTAACCTTTAAAAGAGGGGTGGGAAGATAAACAGAAAGGCCCTCAAATAAATAAAGACATTTCCTCTGTCAAATACATGTGAATTTGATTTTCTTTCTCTCTCCAGACAGCAAATAAGCAGGTGCTAAAGCCACCATTTTTGTTTTGTTTTGTTTTGTTTTTAGTTCATGCAACAGGAACTTGACTTAGGGTGTGCATGCAGATGGGGTGGGACTACTGGAACTGTAGGAGAGGCTCCTTTTGGCATTCCTTGTAATATTAAAATCACAGGTATGGCTACTATCTAGTACTTTCTTCACCTTAAAAATCAAGTGGTCATATTAGTAGTTACTATAATCATCCAGATGTTTTTCTCATAATTTAATTATAAATTCAGTTCATTTTACTCCCATGCAGAGTATTCCTTGCTTTTGAATAGGTATCCACAAAAATTTGTTATTTGCTGAGATAAAGGCCTAGGTATGCTGGGTCAGAGATCTGTGACCTTTGGCAAGTTACTTTACCTTTCTGGTCTTGATTTCCTTATCTGCAAAATAATGAGTTGCAGGACATGATACCATCTTAGCTCCTTTATAACTTAATATTTTACAATTCTGTGAAATTTACCCAACTTAACAATCAACAGGCACAAAAAAGAAAATTATTCACAGTTCTGTAAATATAATAAAAATTGTTCTGTATTTAACTGACATATCAAATTCAGCAGTTTATTAAAAAAGAAATCAACTGTTATTCAAATTGAGCATTGTATGTTGAATAAACCATGACTGACCAGAGTTCATCTCAGAAATACAGTACCAATTTAATGCAGATAGATATAAAAATCACAAGAGTAAATTTAAAAATGTGTTTTCTTGTCCTAATATCTGTTTTTCTTTATTCTTAGTTCATTAAGAATTATTCTTTATCATGTTAAGGACATTTATTTTTATTTCTAACCAGTAAACATCACATATTTAGTTGAAGCACCAAGTTTTTCTAATATGGATTGAATAAGACAGGTTTTTTTCTGTCACTATTATTTAACATTATATCATCAACAGATCAAGAAACAAATGAAATATTTCATTGTGAGAAAGGAGATATCCATCTTATTAGTAAATGACAAACTATAAAAACTGAGAGAGTCCAGGATAGTCAATTAAGTTATCCAAGAAATTCAAAATCAGTATTTTAAAAATTACTCAAGTTTTTAGATATCTTGGACAGGGTGAATTAGGCAGTTTTGTGAAAACTCAGCCTCAGCAATACCTCCTGAATTTGATACAAATACACTAGCAGGAATCTATTAAGAATTTTCAACCTACAAGCTCCACGGGTAACTAAAATGAATTAGAGAATTCCCCCAAATGGTAGCTTTGTTCTTGTTGAAATGCAAATAGTAAGAGAGTAAAACAAAGAACAGAGTGATAAAGAAAGTTTATAGAACTTTTGTGCTGTTATTTTGATCCTTGTTTGTAGAGAGAAGACCGGGTTTGGGATCACAGTCTTGGCTTCTACTAGTAAGAGTGAAATTCCACTGTTAACTGGTGGTATGGAGAATAGACAAACTACTTGACCTCTGTGGGCCTCACTTTTATCAACTTCAAAATAATGTCTCAAAATATGATCTGTGAAATCATTTGCCACTGTAAACAATACAATGATTGTTGGACATCTGGCTAAGAAAAGGAGCATATTATATTAGAAACTTTGAGTATTTTTTCAAGCTGTATTGACTGAAATCCTGTTTATTTCTCCAGATTTGTTTTTTAAGATCATTAACGTATATGCAAAATAATATTTATTTTAACTTTAAATAACTTTCCTTAATGCAAAACAGTTCATTTTCATTACAGAAAATTTAGGAAATAATGATAAATGAAATAAAGTTTAAAACACTCATAGTCCTGCAAGGAGTTAGCAGTTATCACCTTGGTTTGTTTTTTTCATAATCTTATAATATATGTATTTCTGTATCTAAAACTAAAGAACAGTCATCTTTCATAATTTGCTTTTTAAAATGTCAACTCTGTTGAGGTATAATTTACATGCATTTAAATGTACCCATTTTAACTGTACAGTTTGAGTTTTGCCATATATATCCGTGAAACCACCACTGCAATCAAGATTTAGAATCTCTTCATCTTTCCAAAATGGTCCCCCGTGCCCTTCCCAGTCAGTTCTCTCCCTATCCCCAGCCTTAGGCAAGCAATGAACCTGCTTCCTTTTACTCTACATTTCTAGAGTTTAGTCTACATGGAATCATGTGATGTGTACTCTTTTGTCTGGCATCTTTCACTCACCATATTTTTTTTGAGATTCATTGCATATTGTTGCATATACTTGTAGCCTAACCCACTTTTAAATGTTAACACATCACAAGTGTTAATTTCCATCTAGATTATTTAATAGGTGGTCTTGTGAAAACAATAAAATTGGCGTCCTGTCTCACACTTCGCATCAATATAAATAATAGATGGATCAAAGATTTTTAAAATTCTGTAAGAAAACTTGGAAAATGTTTTTATCTCAGAGTTGGGAAGACCTTTTCTGACACAAAACCCAGAGCCTTTAAATAAAAGATTGATTAAATTTGGTTACATGAAAATTAAGTGCTACATAGTAAAAGAGCAAAAACACATGAACCAACTAAAAAATGAAACATGGAACATATTTGCAACATATAAAGGGGTAATTTCCTCATTATATGATTACATACAGATCAATAAGAAAAAGGACAACACAACAACAGCAACAAAATGAGCATAGGATACTGTTCAAGAGAAGAGGAAATATAAATGGCATTTAATTAGGGGAGGACAACACCCAATGTCACTGATAAGGGAAGCACAAGTTAACATTATCATAAGATACATCTTTTCAGATTCTTAAATAAAAAGTTAGGTAACAAAGTTGATAAAAGTATAGAAGAGGCACTTTCATTTCTCATTGGGGTCCTTTATGGAGGACAACTTGTCAATATGTATCAAATTTTTAAATGCATATACTCTTTGAGGAATTCCATTTCTAGGGATTTTTCCCAGATGTATTCGCATGTGCGCAGAATGGCAAATGTACAATTACAATATTGTTTCTAATAGCAAAAAATGGGAAACAGTGTGTACATTGATAGGTGCCGACAGTATTATTTCATTGTTTGGCTATATCATAAACTTAATTGTTAAAAAGAAACAACAATTCTTCTTTTACTGGTATAGACCAATTTCCAATATATATTAGTAAGTGGAAAAAAAAAGAGAATGCAAAAACTATGTATATAAAAGAAACCTCATTTGTGTTAAATATTCATATTCATATCTTAAAAATGTATATATATATGAGCATACGCTTTGGGGATTGCTTGAAATATCTGGACACCCAAAAACCTGATAATAGTAGCTACTTCTGAGGGATACAGATGAAAGGAAGACTTGGTTTTCATTATATTTCTTCTGATGCTTTTTGAATGCAGTGCTCGTATTACCTTTGCCTTACCTTTGCCAAAAACTGGTCCTGTATGTATGTGCACACATGGTAAGCTCCTTGAGGTTTTAAAACTTGACTTACGTAGTATTTTATGCATGAACTATAAATTTATTGAAGCAGCCTACTCTGGACATTTAGGTTGTTTTTAATTTTTTGTGACTATAAATAGTACAAGAATATCCTGTAACTATAATTGATCCTTGCTTGACTCACTTAAGTCATTATGGGTTGCAGGATGGCAATTTTTAAAAATTCTGTCATTCCTTCTACCTTTAACGACTGACATTTTTCTGTAAATAAAAACTTTCACTAATCACCTAGGAATGAACTATAATTCCTCCTAAAAAGTCAAAGTAAATACTTATTCCTTCCCTTTAATTACCAGTATTCAGAGTAAAAAGTGGCAAAATACTTTATAAGTAAACACACATATACAAACACAACTGACTTAAGGATTTTTATTTATCCAAAATTATATAGTTACAGTCATTATTCTTAGTGATGTTCAAATTGTTCCAAATTTGACCAATGAGAACTCCATTTTGACATACCCAGTAGACTTGGAGAAATTCCTTGCTTTCTGGAACAATACTATGTCCCAAGCTTACCTTTTACTTTCCTTGTCCTGGATCTGACAACGAGCCATTTTACTAGAGAATGTCTTCATCGACTGTTAATTTCCTCGGGCTACTGTAACACTACAAGCTGGGTAGCTTTAAACAACAGAAATTTATTCTCTCACAGTTTTGGAAGCTAGAAGTTCACAATCCAGGTGTTGGCAGGGACAGCCTCCCTCTGAAGACCCTGAAAGAATCCTTCTTTGCCTCTTCTTGCTTCTGATTGTTGCTGGCAATCCTTGGCATCCCTTGGCGTGTGATAGTATAATTCCAATCTCTGTCTCTGTCTCTGTCTTCACATGGCCTTCTTCCCTCTGTGTCTTCAGATTTCTCTCTTCTTATGAGGACACCAATTACTGGATTTAGGGCCCACCCTTATCCAATATGACCTCACTTTAATTTATTATATCGGCAGAGACCCTATTTCCAAATAAAGTCACATTCACAGATACTGGGAGTTAGGACTTCAACATATCTTTTTGAGGGACACCGTTCAACCCATAACAAAGATCAAGATATAGTTATGTGCGTTGAAGTCGGGAGTCTTTCCTTTTAAGCCCTTTCAGTGAACAGAACTGGGAAATACATAAAAACAAAAATCAATTAGTTCATTTTCATATTTCTAAATTTAACTGTTCTTTGATTTATTTATTTTTCTTTTAGCTCCCATGGAACTTCTTGATTCCTAATAAAACCTTATCCTATAATACGTATATGATAGTCTTAAAATTGTCACATCAGTGTTACTACTAAAAAGTGAAGTATGGAGTGAAGGTTGAGATTTCTCTGCAGTTCCTTTTGTCCTTAGTGTACAGCCCAGTAAATGTACTATCAGAGTAATGTGTTCAAAGGGTTATTTGTTACACTTTTATATAATTAAGTTCATTGTTTTAATTTGTTTTCGATTTTTGGTTTTCTTTTCCCCTTTGACTTTATCCTTGAAGTTGAGAAATGTGTATATTTCAAAAGTCATAACTATGTAAGAAAGATATTCTGAGAAATTCTGCTTCCATACGTGGTCCTTCCATTCTTTTACTTCCCTCCCCACCATTCCATCCTGTCCCCATAAGTGACCATTATTTTTAGTTTCTAGGTTATCTTTCTCTTGTTTCTTTTTGTAAAAATAAGCAAATACATGTATGTATCCTTTATATATTACCTCCCTTCTTATATCAAAGGTAGTATATTATATACTCTGTTCTGTACCTTGTATTTTCACTTAACATATATCTATATTTTTAAATATTTATTTACTAGAAGAAATAGATAAGGTGAAGTATCCTCTGTATTTGAAAATCACAGAAAAATCATCCTATTCTAGCCATTCATCTTTTATAAACCATATAACACTCATTTTGTATACTTTATATTAAAACTCTCCTTTGAAGTGTCATTTACCTCTTATAGACTCAAAGCATTATAATTAATATTATTATTACCTTCTTTTTAATGTCTCTCCACAGTCTAGCGAGTAGGAACCCCTTTTGCTGGCTCTCTTACTCTTTTCACACTACTCTGGCATTTTTGTAAATATCCTTTCTTTATAGCAACAACTGAATGGTCTAGACCTATCCTGGAGTTTCCTTACCACAAGACATGGAATCAGCTATTCTCTGAGAACTCCTGGGCCTTTTTAATTGAGAATGGTATTAGAGATAGAATTTGGGATCTTGGGACTAACAAGAACCCATCAGATTTGTGGTAAGCAGAGTCCTGATGCTGCTTTTGGGCCATTTCTAGCAACTTCTGGGAAAAATACTTCTTTTTAAATACATCTTTTTACATTGAATTTTTTTTCTATTTTGAATTCCTGTTCTATATGCTCTGCAGCATACCTCCTTAAAATATTAACCCCCAATTCAAACTCTAGCAGTATTTTTTTCTTTTTATAATCCTTCTTTTCCTCATCCACTGTCATTGCCACCATATTATCACATATGATGTTTGTATTTCTTTCATAATTTACCCACTGATGTCCTTTGCATATTTTTCTACTGGAGTGTTCATAGTTTTCTTATTACTTAAAAAAGACTTCTTTGTATATTAAGAATATTAACCCTTTTCTTAAAAGTTTAAAAAAAACACTTTAAATGTATTTGATATGCTTACATCTATCTCTTCTTTCTCCTTAAGATTGTCAGTTTGTGAACTCACTTTTCATTACTTGTTTTTCTCCTTTACATAGCTTTAAGTAGTAAATTGCCCTTATGGAGAGGCCTAATGAGGCTCACATTTCAATATGAAACATGTGACTCTTCAGTGAATGGTCTCCCGAAAACAAGTCCCTTTATTGACTGTGGTCACCTCATAAACCAGAGATTAAACTCTCAAGTTAGAGGGTGAACAAGGGGCTCATAAATTAGCCACCTTCCTGCACAGGCTATGTGGTGTTTGATAAGGGCTGCCCCAAAGAACTCCGGTCTTCTGAAGCAGCAGTACCTTCCATTTATGCATTTCTTCAAAAGTAAATCTGCTGCACTCTACCTAAAATTGTCGTCAAAAAGACGACTAGGAAGCACAAACAACAGATAGTTCTTTTATGGTGTCAGTCTCCAAAAGACAATGAGTGACTGCATGTATCTAAACTACCTTAAAGTTAACTTGTCTAATGATTATCCTAGTAGTAGTGGCTATCCTTTGATAAAGCTTCCACTGTGATAGGACCCATCCTAATTGGCTACTTTCATTATAACTAATACCACTTCTAAAAGTGGAGGTCTTAAGCAAGACTTCTCTTGTAAAGTTTGCTAAGTATAGCTTAGAATATGAAAGATTTCTTCCTCATGTTTTTTTTTAACATTTTTTATTGATTCATAATCATTTTACAGTGTTGTGTCAAATTCCAGTGTTCAGCACAATTTTTCAGTCATTCATGGACATATACACACTCATTGTCACATTTTTTTCTCTGTGATTTATCATAACATTTTGTGTATATTTCCCTGTGCTATACAGTGTAATCTTGTTTATCTATTCTATAATTTTGAAACCCCAGTCTATCCCTTCTTCCTCATGTTTGAGGGAACTATTAGACCTAATTACCTTACTGAGTTATTACAAGAATTGGAAATAGTATCTAACCCAGAGTCTTGTAGACAAGCAGGTGCCTAGGAAATGGCAGCTGCTTTTATTAGGGGTACTTTGGCATTTTTTGCCATCATCAGCACCTTCAGCCCACTTTTTACCTCCATCCAGCTGCACATCACATATGCCCTGAAAATAGATGTCTAGAAAGTTGACTCATAGCCTAACAGTTGTTTCCTACCAGATTTTTCTTTTCTTAGTAATAAGCCTCCTTCTTGATTGTATTTTATTTCCTTGAACATAGCAGTTTTTCATTAGTGGAAATTTATAGGTGATGCATGCAAAGAGAGGTTGAATTCAGTTAAAGAATGTTCCAAAACTACCAGAACAAAGAAACTAATAAATTCTTGTTACCCATCTCTGCAGACACACCACCACTGCTCTTTGAGGTGTCCTCACTGGAGAATGCTTTTCAGATTGGAGGCCATCCTTGGCACTACATCATCACACCTAATAAGAAGAAACAGAGAGGAGTTTTCCATATTTGTGCCTTAAAGGACAATTCCTTGGTAAATCATAATAATCAGACTTTAGTAGTAAATTTATACCAGAAATCCTTTATTCTCTACTTCTCTAATAGGTCAACATTTCTAAGAATTACTTTTTTATTTCTTTGTATTAATAATTTATGAACAATGTAAAGTACAGATGAGTACAAAGAATATAGCAACACTTGTATATACTATCCAGAATTTTAAAACATTAACATTTGAAAATTCTCAGGGCACCAAAGATTTATTAGTTTTTTCCCTACCAATCTCCTTGAGCCCATGTAAGACATCTCTGAAGCCCCATAGTGAGAATTGTTGATGAAATATATTCAGGCTGCCTCTGAAATTACTGGTGGAATGTGTTGTTGGTTCTGTTTCTTCATGGTTTTGTTGCTCTTTGCTTTCCAGAGCAGAACCAGATAGAACTCTTTTGGTCACAGTATAAGCACTGAAACACTTCTAATTTTCTGGGACATTTTTAAGTTATATATGGCAAAATAGAAAGGGTACATGGTAAGACAGTAGAAATTTCTACCTCTTAAATTAATTTTTTTCTTTTTTTCTTTTTAAAAAGATCTAGGCATTGATCTGTCATTTAATAAACATTATTGAGGGCCTACTATGTGTCAGTTGACTGGGGGCACATTCCCTTCCTACAGGTTACTTACACTCTCAAAAGAAAGCAAACATGTAGATAAATAAGATGCAGTCCATTAAGTACAGTGATTGAGAGAAGTACAGAAGAGCAAGTTCACAGAGAAGGGGCATTCTGTCTTTGTTTTGTATTGCTGATTTAGTTTAGTTTATTTCTGGAACCTTTTGATATGTCAAATGAACTTACTTTTTCTGAGACAAATTCAGCTTATTCCACACCCTTCTTTTCCAGGATCTTGCTCTGTTAATCACTGTTGCACCCAGTGGCTTTTAGAGTCACAGGTCACCTTCCACCACACTGAAGATCTGCACAGTCTTGGGTCCATTTGTCCATTTCTCGTGATGTCATGGCCACTGGGGGACATGGTGTATAGCGTCTTCTAGTTCTTCTTTTGTAGGAGCATTGTTCCCTTCCATTTTCTCATTAACCTATCACATGTGGCAGCTCCTGTTTGGCTGAGGCCAGTGACATCCTCTTTTACAAGGGACTCCCTAGAGACTGTTCCTCACTGTGACAAGTCTGTGTTTTGATTTTTCACCTCCCAGCCAGTGGACATCTTCAGCCACCAGGACCTGTCACATCTCTTTTTCACTGAACTTTTCCATCCAGTCAAACCCTGTACAGTTCACATTCTGGACATTTAATGTATGTTCTTATAAGTACTGATAATACGTATTCTTTCCTGTGTGTGTATATAAAATGGCCTTCCACATCTACATCAAGCATGCCTGTCAAGAGCTGGCCTTCTGTAATTACTGACTGTAACATTTAGTCAGGTCTGTAATTCAACATATTTATGAATAACTGCTAAATCCAGGGGAAGTTTTCAGCCCTTTTGCTGGACACCTCTTGCTGTGATACTACCTTAATGATGCATATGCCCATTACCTCCTCACCTTTCGGTCAGAGGAGTAGGTAACCCCAAAACACATATGCAGCCACACTGAAGAATTCAGAAAATGACCCATAGCTTTCTCTTAAACTGAGCTTTAAACTAGCATTTGAGCAAATAATAGAAACTACAGAAGCTGCTAATAATGCTGCCTAGTGCTTAACACAAAAGGAGATAATGTTTCTTTTGCAGACATGTTTAGATATCATAATAAAGAGAATAGTCTCCTAAAGAAAGATCTCTTGTGTGTGTATACGCACACGTGCACACACACACACACACAAGAGTATAATAAAGTTTTATATTAAACAAAGGAGCTTTTGGAGCTAATGCCAAAATGGACACATTATTTTCAATGGTTGCAACAAGATGTTTCATTGCATTGATTTTCTTATATGTAGAATGTAGTAATACCACCATTTCTATTAGAAATTATTAGGATACTTATTAAAATCCTTGAAAAATTAAAACTCATGCATTAACTTGATACATAAAATATGTTAAATTCCAATTTTTAAAAAAAGCACGTCATACAAAGCACTTGTGATACAGCCCCAGCCTACCTCTCTAGTCTCATGGATGGACACTTCAGTTCTCAGTTTAATTGTGTGGGCTACTCATGTTTACACACATACATGCTATATGGATTAACACTTCTGTGCTTTTGATTTTGTCTCTTCTTTCTAGCCATTTTCTTCTCATTTCAAGGCTGAACTCAAGCTTTTTTTCTTCCTGAAATTCTGCTTACTGGGGTTGGATGCTTGATAATATCCTGTGCATGGCTTGACCACCTTGTTTTCTACACTGCCTTATTCTCTGTTTCTGTTTCTGTATCCCTTCTTGAATATGAGCTCCTCAATGACAAGGATTATATTTAATGAATGTCAGGTATGGACACCTAGTGTGATACCTTAAACATAGTGTCCTGTCAGTATATGCTAATGAAATTAATAATTTTGTATGTCAGAAACTTTAATGAATATCCAATAGGAAAGATGGTATCATTTCCTTTTACATTGGAGAAATTAAATGACTTGGATAAAGCGAAGTTAATGTATCTATACTATATTAGTCCCCAGTGCCCCTGTGTATAAGGTAAAACATTTATTACATATATAATCACATATGGAAGTATCTTTTTCTTTATTTTAATGTCTAAATATACTACTGTGAAATAAATCTCTACTTACCTTAAATACTAAGCAATATGAGACCATTTCCTCAGCATTAGAGTTTAATAATCTGATTTATCCAAGGAGATTATGTGACCTGTTTGGTTGCATGTTTATTTTTGAGCTATCCACTCTTTTTTTTTTTAATTGAAGTGTAGTCAATTTACAATGTTGTGTTAGTTTCTGGTGTACAGCATAGTGACTTAGTTTTATTTACATATATATATATATTCCTTTTCATATTCTTTTTCACTATAGACTATTATAAGACCTTGAATATAGTTGCCTGTACTGTACAGTAGGGCTTCACTGTTTGTCTATTTTATATATAGTAGTTAGTATCTGCAAATTCCAAACTCCCAATTTATCCCTCTCACTTCAGTAACTATAAGTTTGTTTCTTACATCTGTGTCTATTTCTGTTTTATAAGTAAGTTCATTTGTGTCATTTTTTTAGATTCCACATATAAGTGATTTCATATGGTATTTGTCTTTTCTTTTTGACTTGCTTCACTTAGTATGAATCCATCCCTGTTCTGATTGACAGTTTGTTGGAGATGGGGGAGGGAGGAAGAAATTGTAGGGGATTACATTACATAATTAGGGCAGCGTTAAATAATGGAAAGTCTATTGACTTCGGAGTCTAAACTGCTGCTTAGTATGTGCAGAACATTGAGCAAATGATTTATCCTCTTTGCATATCAGTTTCCTTATCCATAAAATGGAGATAACCCATGTATGCTTTGATAGTTGCTAAGACCAAAAGAAATAATAAATAAAAACATCTACTGCAGTGCCAGACACAAATTAGGTGCTTGAGATATGGTGACTTAAGTTATTACTTGTGAACTATAATATATGGTACATGGTAAATCTATGAAATTTCTGAATTTAAGTGTTCTGTGTATCTCAAGTTTGAGTGTCCTAATTCAGCCTTAATACACACCCCAGTTCAGCTGGTTAATATTTTCTCTTCCCTTTACTTTTGACTTACTGATCTATCACTGATGTTAGGTTTGAAAAAACTATTTTGTTTTCCCTTAATGTTTATTTTCAATATTTTTTCCCAATTTCAGGCAAAAAATGGGATCCAAGAAATGGAGTGTTGTTCTCTAGAATCTGACTGGATCTATTTTCATCCTGATGCTTCTGGTAGAATAATACACGTTGGCCCAAATCAGGTCAAGTGAGTATTTTCCTTAGTTACTTTAAAGTTAAAAATAGCTTTGGGTGGTACTTTGGGGCATCTTTATTTTTGCCAGCTAACTACTGAGCCAGTTGTGGAGATAATCAGTTTGTTGTAGGGTGCTTCTTCAGATTGGCATTTAGAAAACCTGACTTTATTCTTTCAAGCTCATCATTATTGTTTGTAAACATTACATTTGTATAAATTCTTTGGTGGATGATAGATGATGTATGAGTGAAAGGAGATTACACATTGATTTGTCAGGTTATAATTCATTCTCCAGGATTAATGAGAGAGATTGAATTATCTTTGTTCCAAAAGGCAGCCTTACTACCAGAGAAGTAGCAGGTTGTTTGATGTAAACCTTGTTTTATGTAGTTTAGCCATGTCTTCCACACAATTGACCTCTCCTTCCTTGAAACACACTTCATTTGGCTTCCCTGACACCACAGTGCTCCTGAACATTTTCCTCCCTTTCTGAGCAGTCTTTCTTAGTATCTTTTCATGCTCTTCCTCTTCTTTCCTGACTGAATGCCCTTAGAACTTAGACCTCTTTCCTCATTCTTCATTCCCTTTCTGCATGATTCTTCTATTAATGCCCTTGGCTTCAAAGATCATGTGTGCACCCAAACTCCAAAAGTTGTATCTTAGCCCACTCCTCTAATCTAAGTTTATGTCAGAAATCTGGAATCATTCTCGACACTTTCTTACCATCTTGTCTTTCATCAGTGTATGTGTACTTAAACACTCACTTGCATTCTCTCTCTCTTTTCTCACACACAGACACACACCCCCCGTATATCCTGTCAATCCAATTTATTTTACTACTAAATATCTCTTAAATCTTCCTTGTTTCTGCTCTTGGCCACTGTCACCATCTTAGTCAAGCCATTGTCATCAGTAGCCTGGACTATAGTAATAGCCTACTTACAGGACTCCAAGAATCCACTTTTACTCTTTAAGTCTGTTTTCTTCCCAGCAGCTAGAGTGATTTTTTGAAACAGTAACAAACACAAAAACCTAGTGAAATCTGCTTTAATCTTTTTATGACTTCCTATTGCACCTAACATAAAGACAGGCATACTTAGCTGGTCTGAAAGACTCCTTCCACTCAATTTATTTAGTTCAGTCATGCTATCTGTTCAGAAGGCTGAGGACCTATTCTCTCTGTTTAGTGTTTTCCCTATCTGTTCTCCTGCCTAATTTCTATTCATATTTTATGCCCCCTTAAATGTCCCTTTTCACAGAGTCCTTCCCTGATACCCCTCATTAGATTAGCTCCCCTATCGTATTTTCATTGCACCCACTGTGTAATCTTTTATAGTACTTACAGCAGTTTAAATTATCTGAGTGATTATCTGTTTAAATATCTAGCTTTAGAATCATGAGCTCCATAATGACTGGGAAAGAGTCTGTTTGCTGACACTATAACCCTGGCACTGAGCACAGGGCTTAGCACAGAATAGGTACTCAGTATTTGTTGAATAAGAAGGGCGTTGCCTGCCTTCTTTATTTTGTATGCTCCATGATAATTAGTCTACTCTGAATGGATTATAAGGAGGATGAAAGGACTTAATGATTTACAGAAAGTCATGAAAACTGTGGTTCAGCTCTAGTTAATCTTATTCTTAATGTTTGTTACTAACCATCTTTTATATCCATTTGAGTTTAAGAAAATAAGGTCCACAAGCAGTATGTGCCTTTTAGCCAGGTTTTAAAAGGTAGGCACCTTTAAATATTGGTACTAATTAAGATAACTAATTAAGAAGTTTAAAATATAATCTGATTTCTTTGTCTCTGGCAAACTCTTAAGGCCTCCAGCTCTCCCTGGCCACAGTGGCTGCTTCTCTCTGCTGTCCTCTTGGCCTGCATTTGAGACTTTAAGCTTTGAGGACATTGTACTTTTGATGCTTGTTAATACTTTGAACAGATTTGTGTGGCTAGTGAGCAGATTATTTTCTCTTGCTTAATAAGCTTGATCCCTGAGGCCATTTGCACTCAGAAAAACCCAAATCTTTAAATATAATCCTAAGAAAAAGAAAAGTGTTAAGTTATTTGCAGTTTTTAAATATTGCTCTATCATGAAAACTCTTAGTCTAGGCTTCATTTCTAATCCAATCTGTATCATAGTTAACTCTGAGTGTTGTTCATTGATACCTCATTCAATCTTCAGAAATAAAAATGCAGATATCAATACCATTGTCAAAGCGAAAGCGTTGAAGACCTGCCGCAGCATGGTAGAGAGGAGGCGCTTTAGAGCAACTTTGACTAAGCCACCTTGGGGGATAGCGGCGTGAGCCTCAGCAAGCTGCTGCAGCGCCTGCTTCAGCACTACCTGCTATCACCAGTTCTGTGTTTTTCTGTTTAACAAAATCTCTAAATTTGAAGAAATTTATGGACACTTTAGATTATCAGACATTAATATTTTGGACTAATTGGGAAAAGAGAACTAACTCCGTATTGTTAGTATAATTTTTCTTTGTTGAGTTTCTTTTCAGTAGTTCAACTTTGACACTTTGATGATGTGTTGAGGTCTTAGGTTTTTAGAATCCTTTTTACCTTTTCAGAGTTTTAAAGCTAAGTGAAATAGAAAATAATAGTGCCCAGCATCAGATCTCTGAAGATTTTGTCATTTTGGCCAACAGGGAGAAGAACAAAGTAAGTCGGGAGTCCTTTAAAATTCTTTGTATATCACTGTATTTCTGTGTAAGAATATAATATCCAAATGTTTTTGCCTTTTAGTGTGGCTGAAAAGAACAGCACAGTCCTAAGAAGTCTATTCATTTTGTGTACATGGCAGCCGGTCTTAGCCCCATGTACCTATGAAATTTGAGAGTAGATTATGTTGAATTTATCTTTTGCTTATTTCTGTTTCCTCTCTGGGTTTCTTTTTAAGTTTTTATTGATGAATTATCAACCTTTGAGGTTAATTAATTATGCAAACTTAGGGTAAGTTGGGGTATATACAAACTTTTAAAAAATCACACTCCATTCTTTAATTCCAAAAGGTTCTTTAGCATACAAATTAAGAACATGAAGAAAATCATACGGAGGGAAATTTCCAAAAGCAGATCCACTCTTTATTTGCTGTACAATACTAAGGCAAAAATCAGAAAGGCAAGTGAAGTAACAAACTTGTAACCTTTGCATTTATTTTTGCCTTTTTGGTATTTTATCCATTAAAAACTTTTAATAAAATATTTTTACTAATTGGAGGATTTGAAATCTGGGGCAGAATTTTCTCAGTTAAGGAAAGAATTGTGAATGTTAGAGAAAGGTTGGATAGTTTTAACGAATTTGTTAGTACAATTTTGCCATTGACTGCATGTAATAGGACTTGTCACATCTTTTTATTTCTCTCCATATGATAGAATGAAAACTTACCCACTGTTACAGCTTCTGGACGGGTGGTAAAAAAGAGTTTTAACCTTCTGGATGATGACCCAGAACAAGAGGTATTATTTAAGCCAGAAATAATAAACCAAGCTAGTGTGAACTTGCCT